GCCTCCGACAAGTGGGGCGGCCCAGGTTCCCGCTTCCGGCCCAAACCGTTCCTTCACGGCCCCCACCCTGTTTGGTCACCTCCTCACCTCACGAGCTTCATCCTGACGAAGATTTCAAGATTTCTGTCCGAGAGTGCACAAAAACGGACAACTCCGACCACCGGAACGGAGTATGAATGGCCGGAAACGCCTCCTCCCAGGCCGCCGACGTAAAGAGCGCGCGGAGCGCTGCGAACGCACAGCGGAAACGCCGAGGCCGCGCTGGGTCGCACTCCCTTCCGGCCGCGAGGAGCGCCACAGCGGGCCCTGGTGGCTGGAGGTGTGACTTGCAACTGCTGAGGGCACTTGCGACCACTGAAGGCGTTTATTTGGGAGATTTGAGGAAATTAAATGCAATTAGTGGGCACTTCCGCACGGCAGGGCAGTCCACCACGTGTTATGCCGCACCAAATATACCCGAGAGCGAAAGGAAGTTCTGAGAGAAGCCCAAAGGATTACGCTAATTCTGCTACAAAGCCAGGAACGTCAGCATTATTGAATGTACCTGAAGAAAATCACACAATTTAGTTATTTTCACTTTAAATTCTGGTCACAAACTTCTAAAGGGTACCCTTCCCTACCCAGATATCGTGTTATGCTTCTCTAATGAGTTAAAAAAAATATTTTATACGTTCTTTCTTCTCTTCTCCTCCAACCTTTTACAGTCCAAGTCCCTCTCCCAAATCACTCCGCCAATGTTTCCTACCTCTTTGAGGAAACTGCATCCATCCTTCTGCTTTCCTTCCTGTTACAAGGGTAGGCGTATTCTTGCTCCTTTCAAAGGCAAATTCCTCTTTGTTGTAGTATGAATCCCATCTCTCGTTTCCTTAAACATTTCACTCATTCAGTTAAACATCTCACTCACTCAGTTATCCCCTTTGAACTTGAATCATCTATTTCCCCCTGTCCGCTGGATGTTTTCCGTCAGCACACAAAATTATCTTACAAACAAAACAAAGTTCTCTGAGGTAGCACCAGCGACTGCCAGATTTCTTCCACAGAAAGCCCTCTTGAATGAACTGTCTCTACTTGTTTTTATCACCTCCAATTCACTCTGCAAACTACCCTGAAATTGCTTTTCTAAAGGTTATCAAAAACCTCCAAGACACACTTTTTCCTCATCTTACTCGACATATCAGGAGCTTTCAACACAGATCCTCCCCTTTGGGAACACCGTCCTTGTTTGGCTTCCAGGATGCCAAGCACACCTGGTTTCATTCCGATCCCACTCGCTGCTCTGCTTAGGTCTCAGCTGCCACATCCTCTGTTGAGCCATTACATGTCGGTGCGCTTCAGAGATTACCCTAGATGTAGTCTCCTTATGGATACTTTCTCCTTTAGTCTAGATCAGTGGTTCTCAACCTTCTGGCCCTTTAAATACAGTTCCTCATGTTGTGACCCAACCATAAAATTATTTTCGTTGCTACTTCATAACTGTAATGTTGCTACTGTTATGAATTGTAATGTAAATATCTGATATGCAGGATGGTCTTTGGCGACCCCTGTGAAAGGGTCGTTCGACCGCCAAAGGGGTCACCACCCACAGGTTGAGAACCGCTGCCCTAGATGATCTCCTCCAAAACCATGGCTTTAATTTGTATCTTCAAGCCTGAACTTCATCTTTTATCCTCGGAACTCAGGAATGTTGTAAAGCAATGCTCATCAAACTTAATGGGCAGCTCTGGCTAGGTGGCTCATTCAGTTGGAGCCAAAAGGTTGCAGGTTCTATTCCCGGTCAGGGCACATACCTAGGTTTTGGGTTTAATCCCCAGTTGGGGCATGTTCGGGAGGCAACTGATGGATGTTTCTCTCCATCCCTCTTCTCCCTTCCTTTCTCTAAAATCAACAAAAACAATCCTCAGGCGAAGATTCAAACAAACAAAAAACCTCAATGGGCATAAAGACTCGATAAAACTTGAGAATGAAAATTCTGATTCAGTTAGTGTGGAGTCTGAAATTCTGCATTTCTAATGTTAAAGAAAAAAAACCACAGGCTCCAAATACAATAATTTGTGTTAACAGCCTATAATACCAACCTAGATTTATATCTGATATAACTGCAGTTTCAATCTCTCCCAGAAACATAATCTGAATTAGCCAGTGTAGAATTTCTTGTCAAGCATTTAGCAGTCTGTCATCCAGGCTCTTTCCATTCTCCCTGGATAGAAGAGACAATCTACATATTAACAACCCTTTCACTTCTCTTCCCCCAAAGATGTCCTGGCATCTTTTCTTTCATTAATAGCTTCCTTGCCACAACCTGCTTCCATTTTGTAGCCCTCCTACTTGCTAAATGGGATGCTGCCTGATTCATGAGTTGCTTAACAAAGCCAATTAGATCTTCAAATTTACTTGAATTTTTTTTTTAACACTAACAATCTTTCAGTTGATGATGACAATTGATTAGCAAGGCTATAATGAACATTTGTGTGCTGTCTTCTCAACACCTACCCCTTCTCTTCACAACAGTTTCCAGTAATCATCTGGTGATTCATGTAATCCTAAGGAAGCTGACTCTACCCTTATGTCAATAATCACATTCTATTCCTTGTCCACAGTGAGCTTGGGATGTAAACTGATCAATCAAACCTTTGAAGGGAAATAATCTTTCCTTTTGGATGTGAATGGAGAGGTAGTTATTGGAAATTCCCTAAGAGAAGAACCAATCTTAAGAAAGTTTTAAGCCCTGGCCGATGTGGCTCAGCTGGGTGGGTGTCATCCCATACACTGAGAGGTTGTTGGTTCAATTACATGTCAGGACACAAACCTGGGTTTCAGGCTTGATCCCCAGTAGGGGGCGTGCAGGAGGCAGAGAATCAATGTTTCCCTCTTTCTCTAAAATGAATAATAATAATAAAACAACATATTTTGAAAATAAAAGTTTTAAGAAAGCAAAACTGATATTAATGAGCCCCTGGATTAAAAATAGTGACTAAATGTGGGTGTTCAAATTAAAATTACATGAAATAAAAAAATCAGTCTGGCTGGTGTGGGTCAATGGTTGAGCATTGTCTTATAAATCAGGAGGTCATGGTTCAATTCCAGGTCAAGGCACATACCCTGATTGTAGGCTCCATCCCCAGCAGGGGTCATGCAGGAGGCAGCCGATCAATGATTCTCTCCCATCATTGATGTTTCTGTCTCTCTCTCCCTCTACCTTCCTCTCTGAAAAGAAAAAAAAAGAATTAAAAATTCAGTTCCTCAGCAACAATGATGATATTTTATGTGCTCAATAGCCATATGTGGCTATGGTTACCCTTCTGGACAGTGCAGATATAGAACATTTCCACCCTCAAAGAAAGTTTGATTAGACAGTGTTGCTCTGTTAATCCCCATATGTATTTCCTTGTTTGCATTTAATTATTTGTTTGCTTGTTTATTGTCTGACACAAGAATATAAACTGCCTAAGGCAAGGATTTGTATCTGTTCTATTCACTTTTGCATTAAAAAAAGTGTATGCTGCATGAGGAAAGAGACTTTGTGTGTATTGTTCATTGCAGTATCCGTAGTACTGAGCACAGGTATTATCGCAAGGCTCTTCCTAATTTGAGCTCTGCCTACCTCTTAAATTCACTTTTGCATTCCCATCATTTAGAATAGTGTCTTGCGTACAATGTGCCTTCAATATTTGTGAAATAACTGAATGTCTCTCCCATTAGAATACATGCTGCATGGCCTAAGTGCCCATCTGTAGATGAGTGGATCAAAAAGCAGGATTTGTATTTGTTTTATTCACTTCTGCATTCCCATCATTTAGAATAGTGTCTTGCGCACAATGTGCCCTCAATATTTGTGAAATAACTGAACGTCTCTCCCATTAGAATACATGCTGCACGGCCTAAGTGCCCATCTGTAGATGAGTGGATCAAAAAGCTGTGGTACAGCCCTAACTAGTTTGGCTCAGTAGATAGAGCGTTGGCCTGCGGACTCAAGGGTCCCAGGTTCGATTCTGGTCAAGGGCATGTACCTTGGTTGCGGGCACATACCCAGTGAGGAGTGTGCAGGAGGCAGCTGATCGATGTTTCTCTCTCATCGATGTTTCTGACTCTCTCTATCCCTCTCTCTTCCTCTCTGTAAAAAAATCAATGAAATATATATATATATGTGGTACATTACACAACGGAATACTACTCAGCCATAAAAAGAAGGAAATTTTACCTTTTGCAACAGCATAGATGGACGTGGGGAGTACCAAGTTAAGTGAAATGTCAGTCAGAGGAAGACTAATACCACATGATTTCACCTATATGTGGAATATAATGAACAAAATAATCTTAGAAACAAACTTATAGCTGTCAGAGGGGAAGGGGTAAGGGTGCTGGGTGAAAAATGGAAAGGGATTGCCCTAGCTGGTTTAGCTCAGTGGATAGAGCCTACAGACTGAAGGGTCCCAGGTTTGATTCCAGTCAAGGGCACATGCCCGGGTTGTGGAATCGAACCCCAGTAGGGGCCGAGCAGGAGGCAGCCCATCAATGATTCTCTCTCATCATTAATGTTTCTATCTCTCTCTCTCCCTCTCCTATCCTCTCTGAAATCAATAAAAAAAATTTAGAAAAAGAAAGAAAAAGGGGAAGCGATTAAGCAAAAACAAACCAAACAAACCCAAAACCCCAGGAAAAAAAAACCTCAGACAGACAGCAGTATGGTCATTACTAGAGGAAAATGGGAGTAGAGGGAGGTAGGAGAGGGTACTGGGGGTAAAAAATTTTAAAAAAAAAAGAAAGAAAAAGGGGAAGGGATTAAGCAAAAAAAACCCAAACAAACCCAAAACCCTAGGAAAAAAAACCTCAGACAGACAGCAGTATGGTCATTACCAGAGGTAAATGGGAGTAGAGGGAGGTAGGAGAGGGTACTGGGGGGATAAATGGTGATAGGAAGATACATGACTTGGGGTGGTAAACACACACTACAATATACAGATGATGTATTATAGAATGTACACCTGAAACCTATATAATTTTATTAACAAATGTAACACCAATAAATTCAATAAAAAGCAAAATTAAAAAAAAAAGAATGTATGCTGCACGAGGAAAGAGATCTTGTGTGTATTGTTCATTGCAGTATCTGTAGTACTGAGCACAGGTATTATCCTCAAGGCTCTTCCTAATTTGAGCTCTGCCTACCTCTTAATACCTTTCCCCTCAATAGAATTGGAATATTTGAGTTTCAGAAACTCATTAGCTCACTTTCCTC